GCCAAAAATCGGCCAAAAAATGGACGCCAAACGCTTGACGCTCAGCCCTGCTAGAAATTCTCGATCTCCCCACACCACTGCCATTAAAACAAAACTTTACATGTGTTAATAATTTGTATTGTGTTTTTAATTTGTCTTTGCACACTTTATTCTTCAAAATTTCCTCATCCTTAACAAATTCATCAATTAAATTGTGTATTTCACAAAATTTAATTTTTTCATCTTCCAAGCACTTTAATTTACCCTCCACCAATTTTGCTTTAAAAATATATTTATTAATAACTCTTCCAAACTCTTCATTCCACCCTTCATCATTTCCAACAAATTCTTTATAAACTTGATAGGCAGCATCACTTGAAGGGCGTATTTTAAACATTTCAATAAAATAATTATAAAATTTTGAAATTATTTTTATTAAGAATCCTTCTAATAATTCCTTATTTCCCTCTTCAAAATTTTCAATAAATTCTATATAATCCTTAGCTATTTTTAACATTTCTTCATGTTCCTTAGCTGCTACTTCAGCTAATATTTGTTCGTTACGGCTTGCTTCTTGACTATTTTTGAGTAATAAAATTATTAAATTTATTAAAAGCAAGGCTTTTTTAATTTTCATTTTTAACTAATTTAATCTAAAATTTATTTTATTAATGAGTGTGTGTTCTTTAGCTGCTACTTCAGCGATCTTCTAACATTAATAGCTGCCTGGAGAGGTTCGAACCCTTCCCATGGTCTTTTATCTCTTACTAGATTAAATATCGAGATCCTTGTTCAGACAGATTACCCTCGCTTTAGCTGCTACTTCAGTCTCACTACTGTTACCAACCCACATTTGAAGACTTTTACTCTAGTAATTTAGAGGTTATAAAAGCGATTGGAATCGTCTTTTGTTTAAAAATAGAAGTTATAGACCTGACTGTTGCTTTTTCTGTCTATTGCCGAGTTCCGGCTTTCTTTACTCTATTATATACTGTGTTTTTTAAACCCTTTTTTAAGGGGTTAAAAAAAGCTTTTTTAAACCTTTATTAAACCTTTTTAATTTAAAAATCCTTAGCTTGAGCTCTGAATTATCGGTTAATGAATTCTCTCTCAGGTTTCCAACAATTTTTTAGTCCTGTCCTTATAGAAGATATTGTAAGGAATGGGAGATATCGCTTACTAATTGAAAGTTTAAGATTAAAAATTAAAGAGAAAAAGAAAGCATCAATTAGTAGATCTCTATAGAATTTTAATAGTCTTCTATTTAATAGAGCGACAGGATAATTTAATTGTTTATTTTATTAATTTAAAATTTAAAGAGAATTAAAATAATAAATTATTAAAGAGAAATAAATTATTTTATATTTGCTTTTTGAAAAATAAAAAGGGAATTAATAAATGCCCTTTTCTGTGTTTTGAAATGGGCGGCAATAAGTCTGTTTGTCTTTAAAGTGCTTTTTTGGCAAATAATAATTCACGTGAAATTACACAAGAATTAAGAAATCTATCATACGATAAAGTCTAAGAAAGATAAAAATAAAATTCCGACAATAATAAAGAAAAATTTCATTACTAGGAATGATGAAATTCCTATTTTTGGAAGGAATAAATTAATTATTTTTACCGTTTTACAAGAAAATTTTCCTATGCCGGAATTCCAAAAATATTTTACACGTAAAAACAATTTGAGTATCAATGAAAAAATAATCATGCGTGATTTGGGCAGTAAATTTTATTCTTCAGGGATGTGTTTATAACTAGGGCTCAGATTTGTTTATAACTAGGGCTCAGGATATATTATGCCTTCGAGTTTGTGTTGATTATTTTCAATTTAAAATATACTTTTAAATTTGTGACCATTAATAGTTTTTGTGACCATTAACTCACTGCCCAATTCACCTCACCGCCTAAATCACTCACTGCCCATTTAACCACTGCCTACGTCACTTCTGCCGAAATCACCAGACACGATATCTGTTGTGTAGTCGTGTACGGATAGTAGTGGTGTACGGATAGCCAGTAAAAACGTCAGTCTAGTTGGATCATACTAGTGGGGCTAGTCACTGATCTCCGTCTGTTCCAGCTCTTTCCAATCCCTTCGCCTACAAATTGTTTATTTCTACACCAGATAAACTGTTATTCTTGTGCACGTCGGCTTTAGTTAAATCTCTGACATCCTCGGACATAACAACATCCGAAATTTTTGTTTAGGATATCGGATCAAGGGATTTATCTCTGCTTTGGCAAAATTCATTAGATGAGAGATTATTCATTTATATTCCTTCTGCAAGTGCGGATTTAGGAATACAGGTCACAGTTTAGTTATGTTTGAATTTTATTATAAAAATTATAGTAATGGGCAAAATTTTAAAGACCCTTTGCTTCGTTATTTTTTGTTTTTAAATAATTAAAAAAATAATTATCTAAAGACTTCTTTACTTTTATCTTCTGAAAGAAAGAAACAAATTTATATACCCTAAATCCTCTATTATTATACATACCACTGCAGCCGGGCCTTGCTATACACCATGGAGCATATAAATCGTAGCTTATAATGAAGGTTATCTTAAATAGAGGGTACCACAGACAGCTCCCCTCCCGCCCTGTAACTAACCAATTTGAAGGAACATAAACTGAAATGTATTTATCTTGGGTTTATCTTATAGTGGTGTTTTACAGAAAATTCCATCGAGGAAAGGACCCAGCCCCGGGCTAACAATCATAATCCGATAATTGTCGTTTTTATTTAGTCATATCCATTCTGCAATTAAATGGATTCCTTTGAATCTCATTAGCTGAAGTGTGGTACTCTAATAGAGGATTTACGAAAGAGGTAATGTTCAAGAAAGGCAATTTTCTCAATTTCGAATCTTGTCTAAAACTAATCTTTTCTCTTCAATTCTTTCAACAATTTTTGATCCTCTCCCATTTCCTCTTCTCCTAATTGTGACGGCCCCGTCCACCACCGTGTTGACCATTCCCTCCATCTCCATTCTCTCCATTTCCGTTACGACGGCGACGTCTTCCACTGGCTTGTTGACTAATTGCAGCAAGGATTTCGGCTGCTTCAGTTTGTTCATCAACGGTTGGTGCAGGTTGAGTGTAGGGGATGTAAAGCTGATTATGATCAATTTAAATGAAGATTTTTGGGAGGATAATGTTTAGTGATCTATGCCTATTCATTATCAAACGACAAATAAACGACAAATATAAAAATATTTTTAATAGGGCCATGCGAAATTTGATAGATAATATATTTAAAAATACCTCTCGAGTTTGTGGTGGAACTCCCTGTATTTCCCGTGATTCACGGTGATAAACCAAAGTCTCATTATTTAATTGTTCAGTTATTCGGGTAAGCAATTGTGGATTTATATAATATTCTTCAAGTCTTCCTTTCAGATTATTATTATTATTCTGGACATAATCAGAATAGAAGAGGTTGTATAAATTGTAAGTATTATTTGGTCTGTCCCCTCGAATACGAAAGCCTTCAAAAGCCAAAAATTCTTCTCTGGTTATTTCAGGTGTATCAGTTCTCATAACTAAATTAGTCTATTACTTGTTGAAATTAGTAATCATTTAGGTTCCCAATGAAGTTTCCTGGGATCAACATAACATCAAGTACCCAGTAGATGTTGGTACCCAGTAGACCCCTTAATTTCAAAAATCTCCCCAACTCCCTTGACATCCTCTATAATACCCCGATATCTCTAAATCCCTTTAATTCCTCCGAATTCCCATATTAACGATATCCCTCCAAAGCACTATTCAACAAAACCCTTATATCACAAAATCGATACGGTACTGACTGATATTTAGTGATTTCAATTCTTAATTGGAAAATTTTATCCAATCTTGCGTTTCTTGCGTATTGCGTTGAATTTTGCCTTGCGTTGCGTTTTTCCCGATTGTCTCATGCTCACCACTGATCCGTATTTTTAATATAGCGCCGAATTTTAGACTTTTTAGGGTTCCCTGTCACCGAAAGATCCCAAATCTACTGACGAGTAAGGATAGCGGTTCCTGGTAAATCTCCGATATCCGGAAACGGAACCGATATCCGAACCGAAAATTTCCGGATATCTGGAACCAGAACCGATATCCGAACCGAAAATTTCCGGATATCTGGAACCAGAACCGATATCCGAACCGAAAATTTCCGGATATCTGGAACCAGAACCGATATCCGAACCGAAAATTTCCGGATATCCGGGGTTTTTTCGGTTCTGGATACTTGGAACCTTCAACCTTACTGACGAGAGGCTATCTAGTTGCTTTATTTATCGTATATAATTTATTACTTGTGAATGTATGAATAAGCTGCACGTATGGCAAAAACATTCGAATTCTGTTTATATTCTCATAACGCGGATTGCATTGACAATGGACAGGATACGTGTTATCTCCTTCATTCGTTAACAGTAACTCGTCGTTTCTAAGATTTGTGGATAAACTGGACGTCTCTTAAAATAGAAAATTTAAAAACCACAACTTTTTTAAATTTAAATCACCATATATACGACTAAAAGCTTTATTTTCCAACATATCATGAAAATTGTTTGCAAACACTTCATATTCATCAAGAGCCTTGATGTATTGCAAAATTGATATTTGGAATCTAAAATTTAATTAAAATACAGAAATTATGTCAATTAAATACACAATTCTGTATTTTCTCGATTAATTCTCCTCTGTGTGTACTGGGTTCCAGTACTGGGTATGGCTCCGGGAACTAGCTCTGAAGCCGGAGCTAAGATCAAGGTTTTGAAATAACCGGCGAACAAATGCACAATCCCCAGCACTGGTGGTATAAAAAACGTGTTCAGTGTTATTTTAGTTGGAGTATACTAGTCCAACTAGTCCCTGATCTCTGTCTCATCCAACCCTTTTTGTTCCAACCTAATTCCACCTTTTAATTTCTACCGTATAATTGTAACTTTAGTAAGGATGATTTACCTAGAGCATTTAAAACGCCTAGGCGGTGGCTAAACATCTAAAAGGATAAAAGAGAAAGCTTTAGTAGATGCCCCTGTAGCTCAGTGGTAGAGCTCCTGTATGTGGTAGCGAAAGCGCCTAGAATACCTACAAGGAGGTCGCAGGTTCTAATCCTGCCCTGTGGCTAAACTTTTGCAAAACTCTTCCTCATTCTACTTTTAATAAACTGTTATTCTTGTGTTTGTCGACACTGCCAGATCTCGGTAACACTTGGACATAACATCCTCACTCAAATAATTACTCCATATCTTTAATAAAATTTATAGATTATGGTATCCCTTTTTAAATTGAAGCATATAAACATCGTATTATTCAAAACATTACCTATATGGAATATTGTTATTAGTGTTTAGGTGCGTATGTACCGCTTCAAAAAAAGTCAAGTATGCATTTGAACTATCTTGGATAAATGACAAGATCAATCTTCGTGTTAAAACACGCAATTTGTAATAGAGAAATAAATTTCTTTCTTTGGGTAAAACTTTAACTAACTGGCCTTCAAGATCATCTAGTTCTCGTTCGCTATAAATTAATAAAATAATTTATTATACTTGATCACAAAAAATACTACTAATTAATTAATATAGTAAAGCAGCTGGGCTATAGCTATTTCTCTCCTTTGCTAGTGCAAAAGGTTAATCGGTGGCTCGGAGCGAACCAGCATCTTCAGTAGACCGGACTGATGTGTTAGCCATTACACCATGCCGCCTACTGCACAGCCTTAGGAAATTGAATAGCTATGTGCTTTACAATACATGAAGAAACTTTACCCAATATTCAATAATGTATCTGGAATATTGTCAAAATTCTCTTGAGCATCTAACTCTTCGGCATCTAAACCTCCAATTAGCTTATTATACTCCTCGTTTCCAAAAATTTGTCTATAGTCATCAATTCTTTTATTGATAAAACGAAGTTTTGTTCTTCTGCGCAAATTTTGGTGATAGTTCTGTATTAACATCCCCTCATAATTTTGAAGTATTTGTGTAAAATAATTCATCACCTTTAAAGGTTTAAATAGGAGATGTAAAGAGTTTGAGAATTCCAGATTAGGACAGGGAAACGGATTTTGTTATCCGCGTCCGGATATATCTGTGGGTTAAAAGTTAAAAATTTAAACAGTTAAAAATTTAAACATTTTAAAAAAAATTTGAAAATTAAAAATGATTTATTTAGGAAAGAAAAATATAAAGGTCTCTTTTCATATTAGGGATCGAACCTAACTTCAAAGCATAGAATTGAGTGTAGCTTAACACATTAAACACTCGCTCCTTATAAGGAGGCTTAAAGAAATTAAAGATAACTTTTTCAAAGTAATATACAGTAAGTTTGGCGGATAGTTGGAATTTTGAGAATTTTGGAAAGCTCTTCTCGGCCCTTTACTGGGTATGGATTAGAGATCGAGCTGGACCTGGACCAGGGCCTGGGTTTTTCCTGTACCCAGAGTCCAGGTCCAGGCATTTTTTAACCTTCCTGGGGTTTTCCTGGGCTTGGGTTTTTCCTGCACTACAGGCCCAGGATCCAGTCCAGGTCAAGAAATCAAACCCAGAGTCCAGGAACGTGTCCAGGCTTTTCAAAAATCTCGATCTCTAGTATGGATTAAGCAAACTTTTTCTATAGCTTTACTTACCCCTTCAATTTTAAGTCGAAAATCATTAACCATCGGATCGTCTTCAGATAACCCAATGTTAGCGAGGACTTCACCTCCTTTTTCCTCAAAAACAGTCACAAAACTAGCTTCAGAATTGTAGTAAATTTCGGGCAAGTCAATTCTATCCAAAATTTTCATCAGAAGGGACAACTCAGTGAGAGAAAACGTGTTCAGATTGACATGGCCTTGGCTTCCACCAGCTTGCATTTTCCCTATTTTTAAGAATTTGTTGAAAATTTTTTTATAAAAACAATAGAAATTTTACCACGAGGAGGGCGCATTCCTTCGACGAAAAGGGAATCAAATCCGAGAAAAATTAAGACAATAAATGCCTTGAAGAATTTTTTAAAAAACATTCTAGCAAAGAATTTTATTTAGAAATTTTTGAATAAAACCTTCTTAAAAAATTTTTTATTTAAAAATTTAGAAATAGCTATTTATGGCAATCAAGTAGCTAGGGCTTATTTTTGAATTCTTACATAAATAAAATTAATATTAGCAATAGACTCCCTCCCAAAGCTTCACTTATATGGGCCATCTTTGTGTAATTACTTCCTCATTGAGTGTCACTTTAAAATAAAATGCGTGGGTTGAAATTAGCCTTGGCTGTTAGCTAAAGCTAATAAAATCAAGTTGGGGCATTGGAAAATAGTATAGAAAATTAGGAGACTAATTTTTATAGTATTTAAATTTGGATTTAAATTTGCTAAATAGCAAAGCATTTTATTAATTAAAGCTCTTTGCAATGGCGCCCACGCAGAGTCGATTCGAAATTTCGATTTGTCCATGGATCGGCTGATTCACCATAGCAGCAAGTGGGATTCCATGCTACGGCACTAGAAAGAGTGTAGCAAAAGTTTAGCCACCGGGCAGGATTAGACCTGCGAAAACGCTTACAGTGCTCGCCTTTTGTTCACCTTTTGTTGGAGGTAAGTCTTGGTCTCGCTTTTTGACGTTCCCTAAGTAATAAGTAGTTTAAGGTAGAGTAGGTCTAGGTCGAGGATTTTTGAAAAAACCTAGACCAAGAATCACCGAGGCTGGAAAATCCGAGATCGAGATAGAGGAGAAAATTTTGGCCGAGGTCCTAGTTGAAGTTTTATAAAATTTCAAAATTTTATCAAAAATACACTAAATCTTTCTCAAATTCACCTTTTTAATCTTATCAGATTTAGTGGGTAGCCCAAGCGTCAGTTTGGATGCAGGTCTTGGTGATAATTCTCATAGAAGTCCCAAAGTTTTTTAAATCAGCTCCACAAGCGAAAATTTTGGATTGATAAGAGCCAGAATCTTCCAAGAAAACCAAACTGAATCCTAAAGCACAAGGTTAAGAGATTACTTTTCACTAGAATTATTGAATTATTCTTCATTGGGATTGGGTAAATTATGGAGATATCGAGTGATAAAGGAGGATTAAGAGGGATATTAATGGATTAGGAGGATGTCTGTGAATTTCCTCTCTTTTTGCGCTGCAGGAAAAATTTTTTCAAATTTTGGAAGATCCTCAAGCCAAAAAATTTCCAGTTCCAAAAAAATCTGTGACTTCTACTTTGTTATCATTCAAGTCTATATATTTAAATGTAAAAATGGACTCGAATCGGTATTAGTTGGCCAAAGGATTTCATTATAAAAATAACAGTAATTGGCCTAATTTTAAAGACCCTTTGCTTCGTTTTTTCGTTTAAGTAATTAAAAAATAATTATCTGAAGACTTTTTTACTTTTATCTTCCAGGAAAAAAGAAACAAATTTATATACCCTAAATCCTCTAATATTATACCACTGCAGTCGGGCCTCACTATTCACCCTTGAAGAATAAAAATCGAAGCTTATAATGAGGATGGTACCGCTTAGAGCTTAAATAAATGGTACCACTTAGACAGCTCCCCCTCCCGCCCTGTAACTATGTATGATGGAATATGATGAATAGAACCATCAAGGAAAGGACCAAGACCAGGCTAACCTACATTCAATCATAATCCGATAAATGGTAGTTTTTATATGGATTCCTTTGAATTTCAGGTTTCTGTAAAATAATTTTTTAGCTAAAGTGTGGTACTCTAATAGAGGATTTACGAAAGAAGTAATGTTAAATAAAGGCGATTTTCTCAATTTCAATCTTGTCTTAAACTAATTTTTTCTCTTCAATTCTTTCAACAGTTTTTGATCCTCTCCCATTTCCTCCTCCCCCTCAATTGTAACGGCCCCGACCACCACCGTGTTGACCATTCCCTCCATTTCCGTTACGACGGCGACGTCTTCCACTGGCTTGTTGGCTACTTTCCCCAACACTTCCAGTTGCTCCAGGTGGAGGGTATTGGATGTGAAACTAATAAATATTAAGAGCATTAACGAGGAATTACAATGGAAATTCTTAAATAGACAATAATAGTCTGAAGCGAGCATATACGTTTTTTATAAACAACCTCTCGGATCTGTGGTGGGATTCTCACTCCTACACGGATTTGCAATGTTCCCATTAATTGAGGGTTATAAACCAAAGCATTATTGTTTAATTGATAAATCAGTTGTGGATTTATATAAAATTGTTCAAGTTTTGCTTCCAGATATGGGCGTTCACTAACATAATGAGAATGGAGGAGTTGATATAGATTGTAGGTATTGTTTGGTCTGTCCTCCCCTTGAATAAGAAATTGTGCGAACTGTGCAAATTCTCCATTTGTTATTTCCCAAGAATCAGTTGCTCTAACTAAATTAGTTTATTACAAGTTGAAATTAATACCCATTAAAGTTCGATTGTGAGCCTAATTTGCCTTTAAACCCCAACGCCTTTACAAAAACTATCACTATATAGTCGGCAAATTTGCCTCCTCGCCTAGTTAATAAAGCTTAGATGAACGATCAGTGTTGGCCGTATTAGATTCAAGGACATCTGATCTATTCGAAACTAGATCTCCGTGGTTAGTTTGATCCTGACCACATGCCACATTTTCAAAAAATAGTTGTTCTTTTTTTAATTTTATTTAATCCTCATAATTAGGATTCGAGTCAACTTTCGGTACATTTTTCAAAGCTTGGGATTTTTCGAGCGAGTCGTTTCGAGTTTGGTTTTTTTCGAGTCTCGTACTGGTCTTTTTCGAGCTAAGCATAGCACTACTCACAGGTCGCCTCGTAATGCGTTTACTTTGATTTAATTAATTTAATTACTTTCATATGTGTAAATAAGCGGCAAGTATCTCTCAATTTCTCCAATATTATCTATGTTCTCATAGTCTGGGTTGGAATGACAATGAACAGGATATCCTCCAAGTGTCAACTCCAGCTCGTCGCTTCGAAGATCTCTGAACAGATTGTTGGTAGCTTAAAAAAGAAAATTCAACCCCCAATGCCTTTATAAAACTATCACCAAGTATAATACTAAAAGCTTGGTTTTCCAACATATCATGCAGACTATTTGCAGTCAGTTCATAAGAATCAAAACTGGTGATATAGTCAACAATTGATATTTTGAAACTAAAT